TTTAACAAAGGGATGCTGTAATTCTCGTATTCAATGGGGAAAAAATAAAGAGAGTTAAACAATTACAATGATTATGTACTTGGTAAAAATGTAACTTTTTTAAAAGCACATTCATTGCAACTTTGCTTTTTTCCCCTTCCTATTTTTAATTCAATGTATCTATTCTTTACACACTTTTCTTGCAGCTAATCGCATCGCATATTTTCACTAATAAATATTAAATGTATATTGCAGCGTTATTTTACCTAACAAACATTGCTACTGAATTTTATCATTTTAGACATTTCTCTGCTATTTCTAAACTGTTATATTCCCGTTAAGTTTTTTGATGTATGTGTTTCTTTAACTACATAGTTTGTCACTTTATTCTTCAGTGGCTTTTGAGTTTGATTACACATAATTTGTCATTTTCCTTCTCAGTTTATTAGAAGGAACACTATAAAGTTATGAATAAAAAACAGTATTCCTAATGCCATAGTGTCCCTCTGCCTCCGCACCCTTAAATCGATGTTAAAATAATTAAAAACCCTCTTTTTTTTTCACCTGCCTGTTTCCAGCATCAAGGTCTTTCGGTGCTTAATCCATCTCCTCCAGTAACGTCACCTAATGTGAATGTGCGGTGGGTGTCACACACGCATTAGACTTTCCCCATAGGAAAGCAATAAATCCATACTTTACTATGGGGATTTTCAAGACGCTGGATGCCCTCATGCATGTGTGAGGGTCTCCAACATCATTTTATTCTGTTAAACTCTGTGAAAATGCAGAAAACGCGGTAGATAACCACTAGAGGCAGTCTTAACCCTGCAATGGAAACATTGGAATTTCTCTGAAACAGCAATGTTTTACGTTGCAGGGTTGGGGGGTGTGGGCACTGCACCCAGACCAATTCGATGAAAGAAAGTGTTCTGGGTGCCTATAGTGTCCCTTTAATTTTCAGTTTCATGTAAAACATTTACAATTTGTTATGTTATCAGAGTCTTTCTTAAGCATTTTATTATATTTTTATAATTTTGTATTGGCATCTTTCATATTAGGTACATTTTATTTCTGCTTTAGTTTAATTAAATACATGATTTATTGAAAACAAATGTAATCACTTTAGAGATGTGGCTCCAAATATTTATGAATATATTAAAGTAAGCCGCATAACACTACGTGGTGGGACTTCAAAGAATCCAATCTTGTGGCAGTGGTGTCACTATAGAGTGCCAGTTCTATGTCTTACTCAAAGATTTTAGATGTAATATATTTATACTTTCTGTTATCCCAAACTGACAGTGCATCAGATGTATGTCCTGACTAAATCCCATTGTGCCAGTGTTATTAAAGGGACAGAAAGCACATTACAAGTGACATTATATATATAATCAGGGGGCAATTTATTAGGTATACCTTTAACATTTTGGGTAGGACCCCCTTTTGCCCCTGAACAGCCTGAGATCTTCATGGCAAGGTGCCGGAAACGTTAATATGATGGCATTGTGTAGTTGTTTAAGAATTGTTGGCTACACGTTCATGCCGCAAATCACTCATTCCAACACATTCTAAAAGGAAATAAATAGATATAGGTACAATGCCCTAAGCGTACCAGGAGATCTAATACTGACTCTGAAGTGAAGGGAGATTCACCAGCATAAAAAATATTTTTGCAGAAGTGGGAAAAGAATTAAACAGCAAAAAAGATCTTCTTCCTGACAATATTTTATTCAGTTATTTCTTTACTTTTATTTATACCATTTTCTCCACCCATTAGGGCCAGAGTTTTCTACCCACGCTCTGTAGCATTCTAAAAGGACTCTGTTGAATTGTGACAGTGGGGCCATCAGAATACACTGAACTGATTGTAATCTTCCATCAGAGGATGGGTGGGCTGTGGAGATAAGGGATGTACATGGTCAGTAACAATATCCATGTAGGCTGCGGCATTGAAAGTTACGGTTAAAGTTACACCCCTTAAATCATATTTCTTCGTCGGTCTGTTTGCTTTGATTAACATCTGAACCTCTTCACCAGGTCTGCACGCGTTTATGCACTGAGTGTCGGTGACATGATGGCTGATTAGATATTTGCATTAATAAGCAGGTGTACAGGCGTAGCTAATAAAGTGATCTTCGAGTGTATGCGGAGTGTTAAAGAACAGTTTATGTGATGTTCACGTGATTCTGCATTGAATAAAATTACATATTTCTTGTGAGCGATTACATTATGCATAAACCATAATAACGTTTCATTTTTTTTATGTCAAACTGTTTTGTCAGCTGTGGAAATATTATAATTAGTGTTTAATTGCCATCTGTGTTCATGGGGAAGAATTACTTATATCAGTAAAGTGTTATTCCTTTATAATGCTCCGTTTCAGCATTAATATACTGTAAATGGAGATATGCTCTCACAGGGAAATGTAAATAGAGAAATAGATAGACAGACAGACAGAGAGACAATGAGACAGATAGACCGACAGACAATGAGATAGACAGACAGAAAGACAGACAGACAGTGAGATAGATATACAGACAGACAGATAGACAGACAGACAGACAGACAGACAATGAGACAGACAGACAATGAGACAGACAGAGAGACAGACAGACAGACAGAGATAGATAGATAGATAGATAGATAGATAGATAGATAGATAGATAGATAGATAGATAGATAGATAGATAGATAGATAGAGATATATACATAAAGAGAGATGGATAGATAGAGAGATAGAGAGAGAGAGAGAGAGGGAGATAGATAAAGAGAGACAGACAGAGATAGAGAGATAGATAGATAGGTAGATAGATAGATAGATAGATATAGTTAGATAGAGAGAGATATATAGATAGATAGAGAGAGAGATATAGATAAAGAGAGAGAGAGAGAAAGTGAGATAGATAGATAGATAGATAGATAGATAGATAGATAGATAGATAGATAGGTAAAGAGAGACAGACAGAGAGATAGAGAGATAGATAGATATATGATAGATAGAGAGATAGTTAGATAGATAGATAAAGAGAGATAGATAGATAGAAGTCACTGTGCCCCGGCTCGTGGAGGCCAGTCTTGTGCCCACAGACTATCGGCCCCTAAAGATTCAAAAAGAGACTATCGTTAGGGTCCGCATACCCACTATGTTTTCAGGGACACATATTTCCCATTGTGATAGATAGATAGATAGACAGACAGACAGACAGACAGATAGATGGAAAGATAGATATATAGATAGATAGAGATAAAGAGATAGACAGACAGACAGATATATATATATATATATATATATATATATATGTAACCGCTGGTGGTTCCCTTATTTACCACTATAATGTCTTAAAGCATAGAACTTAGTAGGGCTAACCATACAGATATCTTAGCCATAATTTTATATAGTGTAAGAGATCCTCTATTTAACATATATAAATAATTGAGAATACAATATAAAATAAGGATTGTCTTGGAAGCAAGATTGTCTTTTTGGATATTTATTATATAAAAATATAAAATCCATTATAGCAGAGTTTATAAGATTAAATTACATGCTTGCAAATATCATTAATAGGTTAACATACCCTTCTGAACATGTCATCATGTCAGCCTCTCTGTCATTTTAAGATGGAGCAGCGTCTGTCTCCAAGTCTCTCCTCTGTGTCTTAACATTTAAAAGTACACCTATTTATATCTTAGGTGTCTCCATTTTAGGTTACTGTAGTTCAAATATGAAAAAGTAACACTTCTTTTACTTTATTCAATTTAGGACCTCCCTTAATTTGGCAAACATACAAGGCCATAACTAAAGGGTGTATACGTCATGGAAATTTTCCTGACTTAGTTCAAGATGGCATCTTAAAGTCTGAATAGGTTATCTGTTGTTTATACTAAGTCGTAAGTGTACAGTCGCGGGAGATTCCCGGATTTGGGGAAGTTCCATTAACTTGGGGTTACCACAGTATATTGTGTACTGCAAGAGTCGTAGCATAGCCTTGAAGCTTGTTTATGCATTATTGTTATTGTAATTCGTCTGGGACAAAATGGCGCAAACATATTATGCACTGAGGTTATTGCTTAAAGAAACAGTTATGAAAAACAATATGTTCCATTTCTAACACCTTGTCAGTTTGCAATATCTCTTAAAGACAAAGTACACAGTTTAAGAAATACAACATTTCATTCTAAAACGTGTAATATTTGCATTTGCCTGTAACATATAGATATAGATAGATAGATATAGATAGAGAGATAGATAGGTATAGATAGAGAGAGATATATAGATAGACAGATAGATAGATAGATAGATACAGATAGATATATAGATGATAGATAAAGAGAGAGAGATGATAGATAAAGAGAGATAGACAGACAGATAGATAGTGAGATAGATATATAGATAGATAAAAAGAGATAGATTATAGAGAAAGAGAGATAGACAGACAGATAGATGGAGTGATAAAGAGAGATAGATAGAGAGATAGATACAGAAGTCACTGTGCCCCGGCTCATGGAGGCCAGTCTCGTGCCCACAGACTATCGGCCCAGTCCCTAAAGATTCAAAAAGAGACTATCGTTAGGGTCCCTATACCCTCTATGTTTTCAGGGACACATATCATCTCCCATTGTATTAGATAGAAATATAGATAGATATAGATAGAGAGATAGAGAGAGAGATATAGATAGATAATATATATATATATATATATATATATATATATATATATATATATATACAGGAAAATAGATAATAGCACTCTAAGGACTTCAAAAAGGTATTGTGAAAAAAAACTTAGCTTTTATTCAGCTAGATATAGATAGATAGATAGATACAGATAGATAGATAGATACAGATAGATAGATAGATAGATAGATAGATAGATAGATAGATAGATAGATAAAGAAAGATAGATAGATAGATAGATATATAGAGAGATAAAGAGAGAGAGATAGATATGTAGAAAGATAGATAGAATAATAGATAGATAGAGAGATACACTGAACTGATTGTAATCTTCCATTAGAGGATGGGTGGGCTGTGGAGATAAGGGATGTACATGGTCAGTAACAATATCCATGTACATCCCTTACCTCCACAGCCCACCCATCCTCTAATGATAGATAGAGAGATAGATAGATAGAGAGATAAAGATAGATAGATAGAAAGATAGATAGATAAAGAGAGATAGATAGATATGTAGATAGATAGATAGAATAATAGATAAATAGAGAGAGCGATAGAGAGAGAGAGAGAGAGCTAGATAGAGAGATAAATAAAGAGAGATCGATAAAGAGAGATAGAGATCGATAAAGAGAGATAGAGATAGATAAATAGAGAGAGAGATAGATATATAGATAAAGAGAGATAGATAGAGAGATAGATACAGAAGTCACTGTGCCCTGGCTCATGGAGGCCAGTCTCGTGCCCACAGACTATCGGCCCAGTCCCTAAAGATTCAAAAAGAGACTATCGTTAGGGTCCCCATACCCACTAGGGACACATATCATCTCCCATTGTATTGCGTGGAGGACCCCTGGAGGGGGAATCCACATGTGGTCGGTATGAGCAGATGTGTGTGCAATAAAGGTTGTCATTCTACCCCCTACATTAAGACAGGTGAGGTAAGCTAATGCATGATGGAAAGTCTATAATCACTGCTGTGCACGAGAAAAGGGCTATAATCTCCATAGTCCTTCTAGTGGAAAAGGTCCCCAGAGATCCCAGTGCAGCTTTGATGAAGCGCTCTGAAGCTCTCCAGTGTCCCTGGTAGTGACGAGGAAGCTGTGTTCCAGTGGCACAGACACAAAATAACTGTTTATATATTTATATAAATGTAGAATGTACTAATGTGCGGTTTGTTTGTCAGTGCAGTGTGGGGTGCCTAATCTCATGGTAATGCTGAGACATACATGTACTGGTATGCCTCGGATAGGTGGGAGTTACACTCCATGACGGCAGCTGCTGCAGTGTTAATTCAGACTTAGTTCATAGTCCATAGAGGACTGTGTTGGCAGAATTGAAGTGAATTATTGATATCAGTGCAAATGGCAGCTAGGACCCCAGCATTAACCATATGTCATTCCTGTGGCAGTCTTGAAGGTCACCATGCTCAGATCCAGGAGGTCTTCAGCTTCTCAAGATGCAGTGTGGCGTTCTCCAAATAGGAGAAATGCCACGCCTAGTTTACAGCCCAAGTAACCATGGCAACCCTACACATTTTGCAGATGACACAGCAAATACTAACTCTTTTATGATAAAGATTTCTTTGGTCACAATCAGGGGTCACCTCCTGCTGTTTCCTCTGGCTACATCCACCTTGTGTATATTGGTCCATAGTGATGATGTTGTAAAAAAACATTTTAGTATACTCTACATATTACCCTTCTTCTGCTCAGTCCATGTCCTGTTGTGTTTTTTCTACCCAGAGTGCGTTACTTTTTGTTTGTGATTTCCTGTTATCGATCCAGCTCAATATTCTGGAATCCCTGACCCTTGGCTTGGCTTGCCTTACTGTTTTGTGTGTACCTTTGGAATCCCTGACGCTTGGCTTGCCTTACTGTTTTGTGTGTACCTTTGGAATCCCTGACCCTTGGCTTGGCTTACTGTTTTGTGTGTACCTTTGGAATCTCTGACCCTTGGCTTGCCTTACTGTTTTGTGTGTACCTTTGGAATCCCTGACGCTTGGCTTGTCTTACTGTTTTGTGTGTACCTTTGGAATCCCTGACCCTTGGCTTGCCTTACTATTTTGTGTGTACCTTTGGAATCCCTGACGCTTGGCTTGTCTTACTATTTTGTGTGTACCTTTGGAATCCCTGACGCTTGCCTTGTCTTACTGTTTTGTGTGTACCTTTGGAATCTCTAACCCTTGGCTTGCCTTACTGTTTTGTGTGTACCTTTGGAATCTCTGACCCTTGGTTTGGCTTACTGTTTTGTGTGTACCTTTGGAATCCCTGACCCTTGGCTTGGCTTATTGTTTTGTGTGTACCTTTGGAATCTCTGACCCTTGGTTTGCCTTACTGTTTTGTGTGTACCTTTGGAATCCCTGACGCTTGGCTTGTCTTACTTTTTTGTGTGTACCTTTGGAATCTCTGACCCTTGGCTTGCCTTACTATTTTGTGTGTACCTTTGGAATCCCTGACGCTTGGCTTGTCTTACTATTTTGTGTGTACCTTTGGAATCCCTGACGCTTGGCTTGCCTTACTATTTTGTGTGTACCTTTGGAATCCCTGACCCTTGATTGTTTTCATGACTCTGCTATATACCTCCTTTAGGCATACATTAAGCCCGGTCACTCTTAGATCTAGTAATGCGTCTACTCTGCATTATGTCCTGCCTTGGATTTCTTACTGTTGTTCTATGCTCTGCTCCACTGGGTGACTTATCCTGACACCATAGCCCTAGCAGTAGTCCTAAAATGATCATGAACTATAAAAATGAAATAATGGAAAGTAGGTTTTAGGGGGAAATAATGTCAACTAGGTTTGTGTAAGACTACCATAGACCACACAACCTTTAGTCTTGTGATTTATTTTCCAATTCATAAAGACAAACTAACAATACAAACCATTGTGTGGAAATCTATTCACAAACCGGACTTTTCATAGGACACGAGGTCATGCGTTTAGACTGGAAGAAAGAAGATTTTGTCTAAGGCAAAGAATTTTGTTTTTACTGTAAGAACAATAAGGATGTGAAATTCTCTGCCTGAAGAAGATGTTCAAACAGCTACTAGATGCATACTTGCAAAAACAGAATATTCAAGGATATAATCTTTCAATGTAGGGTAATAGCTTCTTGACCCAAGGATAAATCTGACTGCCATTCTGGGGTCAAGAAGGAATTTTTTTCCTAGTTTGTTGCAATATTGGAAGTGCTTCAAACTGGGGGGGGGGGTTTTGCCTTTTTTTGTATCAACAGCAAAAAACAAATGTGAGGAAGGTTGATGGACGCAAGTCTCTTTTCAGCTATGTAACTATGTAACTATGTAAACATGTAACAGGGAGAGGTGGGATGCAGACTCCACAAATTGTTTAAAGGTTTGCTATGTATCATGTGAAATGAGCTTTACAGACCTTTGGGTGATGAGACTAGTTAGATTGGCCTCCAGCGTGGAAATGTAGAAACTTTATCAAGTTACAGGAACGCTGGAAAGTTTGTTATCTTAAATCTCAAAGTAGGAAACCTTCAGTGACCACGACTTTTTATTATGAAAAGTCGAATAGAAGAAAAAGTAAGGAAATTAGCATCTTAATTTGTGCAACTGAATGTTCTACTTGAATCAATCGGATCTGACACCTCCATTAATTATTATAATATGAACTAGTATTAGGCTGTGATTGGTAACATTATTCAAGTGTTAAATCTTTTTACTTTTTAACGAAACTAACTGAGTAATTCATCAACAGGCGTTGAGGGGCTGTGGTCTAAAAGTGGAACACGCAGACCGACCATGCGTTGGTTTCCATGGCGAATTCTCTACATGTATAACTTTGCTGCATAATTGTTCTTTTTTTTTTTTTTTTAAGAAATCTTATTGTAGAAAGAATCAGCTTGAAATTAGAATTTATTTGGAATATGTGAACTCTGTAGCTGCAGTCTCAAAAAGAGTGAAGTCAAGGCAACTAAACACATGAATTACACTTAATGCACCAAACTCTTATTACGCTTCTTTTGTAATATTCAGATAGAAAATAAAAATAGAATTTACTCAGAAAAAAGCCAGAAGCTTAATTCCAAAGGAAAGCAGCGCAGACCTTTGGAGCAAAATACTGAAAAAGCAAGAAGCTTAAAATTGCAGAAGAGATGAGCTCAAAAATGATTTCTTAAATTAAATATGTTTTGCATTAAATGTCGAAAAATAAATGATGCCGAAGTTGCTGAATTGTGTAACCCATTGTAACACATGGATAGTGATTGGAACAAGTAGAAGCAATAATGAAATTTCTTATGTTGTTTTATAACCTCATTTAATAAGATATAACACCAAAGTTGTAATGGCCAGAGCCCTTTAATGTGACAGGTACCACAATGTTTATTTCCTCCTCCAGGACTTTAGTTGTCAGTGAGCATAAGTTGGCGCCTTCATACTTTGTGTTGTCTGGCTGCGGACAGTAATGCAAACAGTTAGTAAGACAGACTGGAGGGAACACAGCAGCTCCCACTAGTAAGAACACAGCAGACTGGAGGGGAACACAGCAGCTCACACTCCCACTGGAGAACACAGCAGAACACAGCAGCTCAAACTAAGGGGAACACAGCAGCTCACACTGGGGGGAACACAGCAGCTCACACTAGGGGAACACAGCAGCTCACACTGGGGGGAACACAGCAGCTCACACTGGGGAGAACACAGCAGCTCACACTGGGGGAAACACAGCAGCTCACACTGGAGGGAACACAGCAGCTCACACTGGAGGGAACACAGCAGCTCACACTGGAGGGAACACAGCAGCTCACATTGGGAACACAGCAACTCACACTGGGAAACACAGCAGCTCACACTGAGGAACACAGCAGCCCCACTGGAGGGAACACAGCAGCTCAGACTGGAGGGAACACAGCAGCTCACACTGGGGGGAACACAGCAGCTCACACTGGAGGGAACACATAGGCCTCACACTGGAGGGAACACAAGCAGCTCACACTGGGGGGGAACACAGCATCTCACACTGGGGGGAACACAGCAGCTCACACGGGAGGGAACACAACAGCTCACACTGGAGGGAACACATCAGCTCACACTGGGGGGAACACAGCAGCTCACACTGGAGGTTACACATCAGCTCCCACTGGAGGGAACACAGCAGCTCCCACTGGAGGGAACACAGCAACTCACACTGAGGGGAACACAGCAGCTCACACTGGAGGTAACACAGCAGCTCACAATGGGGGGAATACAGCAGCTCACACTGGGGGGAACACAGCAGATCACACTGGGGGGAACACAGCAGCTCACACTAGGGGAACACAGCAGCTCACACTGGGGGAACACAGCAGCTCACACTTGAGGGAACACAGCTGCTCACACTGGGGGGAACACAGCAGCTCACACTGTAGGGAACTCAGTAGCTCACACTGGGGGAACACAGCAGCTCACACTGGGAGGAACA